ATTCCGTTTCGTTTTGTTCAGATTTATCCTGTTTCGATTTGACATTTTCTCCAGTTCTATGGTTTCATCGATCATTTTCGCGCTATTTTGCTATTTTGCCCATTTCAGCCCTTTACATTAACCTACTATTTAAGCTCTTGTTATGGTCTGGCACTAACGCTTTTCGTCTCGAGTGCCCAACAATACATTTAAACCGCGAAACTACACAATTTCTCTTTTTAATCGCTTGTTTTACTTTAAAAAATAATAATAACCTTCGCTTTTTCACTGCCGAATAAGTTAGTTTCAGTTATCATGATTGCCATGGAATACACTGAATGCACGAAATTCTTAGTATTTTGCTTTTACGTCAGTATTACTTCTGCTTCGATACTGATGTTGTGTGTCCTCTACAAAAACCCTTAACATGCTCTAACAGTATTACTAGCTTGTATAAAATTATTTTACATCAGATTTGATGGCCGGGCCAAGAACACTACTTCAAAGGTTTCGTGCGTTTTTACTACGAAAGGTTAGATTTTCGCTTTTGGAAACGTTTGGCTCGCTCCGTGTTGATTAAAACATTGAATTGTTTTCATTTAGACAGGTTACTGACGTAGCAGTGTTTTCAGTGAGCAGGTGATTTATTTTCAATAATGATTACCAAGAGTTTTAACGGTGACAATGGATAACATTTAAACAACTGCGGTTTACCGCGCTGGGTAATAACAATAAAATCTTCGCTTTCCAAGTAGATACCCCGCTCGCCTGCAGTTTCATTGGCTACTGTGGTGTGAAACGAAAACAATTTTGCATGCATCAAATTATCATTATTTAATATTTTGGTTTATGGTGAACTCCTTTACGAATCTTCTTCGCAGGTCATGATGACGCCAAATAAGGCTTGTATTTAACTTCTGAACGAAATTTTCCATCATGGCTGGACCCAAGTCATCGCTGACGTTCTCCTCTCTACAAAAATACACCCGGAGGCGCCAGCTATTCGCGAAAAATGGATTTTACCTCGCGATCAATTCAACTGGCGAAGTGACGGGAACGAGCGACGAAAGCTGTTTATACGGTGACGAAAATTTTCTTGTCATTTGTTTACATTTTTATTTTTTCCATCTCGATTGTGCCATCTTTAAGATTGCTTCCAGCCACGAATATCGCTTTGTAGGATAAATGGAGTCGCGTATGTGCTGATTGCTTTTTAAAGCCACATTCCACGATAAATCAAATATTACAAATTCTCGAAAGTGACCGAGAAATTTCCATATTATAAACAGCCATGCAGAGAAAAATATAATTCGAAGAATTGCCGCTTTTTTAGAGCAAATTATTTGTTAGCTTTACAACGAACCGAATAATACTTTTTAAAATGACTCCTTCAGATTCTATCCCAGCTTTGTTTTTAATCAAACTGCTCGTTTTACAGTATACGGGAGTGATGGAAAATTGTGCATCTATATATTGCTTACGTTCCGTTTATGACTGAAAATCAATATATAGCGAATAGAATCTAACTCATTTCTGGTTTCACGTCGCTTACTATGTGGAAGTGATAATTAATTCACACTTAAAACTCTTTCCTCTGAGTCTATTGTGTTCACGTATTTGCATACAAACGTATTTACTCGTAATATTTTACTATTTGAATAATGAAAATTCCGTATTATATTTCTTTTGATATGAAATGTGT